CACCTGCACACAGGACCCAGGCCTCCTCACTGCTGGAGCAGGAATGCTGGTCCCAGGGGGCTGAGGGGCACTGCCACTGGAACTTGTCATGCCTGGGCCTGCACTGAATGGAAGTCAGCCAGAAAATCTCAGGGGAAGACCAGCTCTCTGGCCTGGCCAGCAGCTGCCCTTGGGACCCACACCCCAGCTGCCCACACAGGATCCCCAGGGAGGCAGCACTCAGGAAGTGGCAGACACCACCCCAAGTCCCATTGTAGAAAACTTCCAGCCGCCCTGCACATGGCTGTCCATACTTCTGTAGCCTGACATCCATGAGCTCTGCAGACAAAGAGACCAGTTGGAAAGGAGGACACGAGAGGATAGGGACATGTAAGACAGAATGGAACTTTCACCTACCTGAGCAGAACACTCCAGCGTCTTCCTTGTGCCCACAGTCGTGCTGGCCCCAACCTGGAGATGGGCACTGCCATAGTGCAGACTCATTGCCCAGGCAGCCCAGCTCATCCATCCAGATGGGCCCAGATCCTGATCCGAAATAGGAGCCTCCTGGGGCACTGAGGGCATGGCCACAGCCAAGTTGACCACAGACCACATGGGCATCCTGCAGGTCCCAGGCGTCATCACACACTGTGCCCCAGGAGCCTCCCTGTAGCACCTCCACACGCCCTGCACAGCGGCCAGGGCCTCCAGCCAGCCGCACCTGAAGGCTTCCTGAAGAGAAGCTGAGTAAGGACCTGCCAGGCTTTGTGACAGCTAGAGCAGAAGAGAACTGGGACACATACTCACCAGAGCACATGACACCCACATCCCGCAAGGACCCGGCAGGCACCAGCTGGGACACTGACACATTGCACTGGGTCAGGCGGGCCTCTGAGCCCTTGCAGCGCACCTGGCTCAGCCCCACTGGGACAGCTCCGCGGTTAGGGGCAGTTGTGTCATAGGCTCGCTGTGCCTCTCCACACCCAAGCTGCCTGCACACGACGCTGGCACCACGCAGGTCCCAGGCATCATCTAGGACGCGGCCCCACACTCCATCCAGAGAGAC